CAAAGCAGTGGTGCTGGAGTAGCACTGCTCGCGAGAACTACACGAAAAATCACCTTTTAGAAGTGGAACTATGAGGAGATCTCTGACGCATGCCAAATATTTTTCACCACAAGAAGTAATTCCGGCAGAATGAAGGCACTGCGCAATCTTGAAAAAAAGTTCGACTCTCTTCTCCTTTGCAGGATTTTTCAGCAACTGAAACGATTTGAATGAGAAAACTGGAAAAATCGTCTTGCACTCGTTTGTCTAGTTTCAGCATATGTGCCCAAATTGGGTGCTGGAAGAAAAGCAAAGCATCAGAGACTGTTAAAACATGCTGCAAAAAACTTAAAGGGAATTGCGGGTTCATCAAAAAAAAAAACCACGCAGAACAATCGCTAGAGAAGTAGTATGCAATATGGTGCGCAAAAAGGGAACACCTGGACCTGCAAAGGTAAATATTCGGCCTCTGGCTACATCTTGGTAATACGCAGTCCACAAGACGAAAAGAAGCAACTGTAAAAAGCGGATGTTTCGAAATCAAGCAAATGTGACAGATTTCCGAGACAAAGCGAAAAAAAAACTACTGCTACTTGATGGGTCTTAGCAAACAAATGGAATTATTACTTCATTATAATGTTGTACCGCCACAGGAAGCTGCAAATGAGGCCTCTCCTGTATTGCTGCGAAATCTTCCGTGCCTCGGTACAATCCAAAAAGTTCGTGAAAATGCTCCGGAAAAGTGGAGGCCACATCTCGCAGACAATCTCGAAGCGGGTGCCTGAAAGATACAGGCTCATCAATTATGAAAATTATTTTCACAAAAACATCGTTCACAATGCTCATGTACGCACCTTTAAAAATACCGCCTACGTTCCTAACTCACAGTTTTTTCTTGCTGTAGTGGAGATTTTTTGACAATTTTAGCTGCTTGTGAAGTATTTGATGGTTTTTAGTACACTGCCGTTCTTCACAGTTAATGAGCTGTCTTAGGGTCGAAAATTAAGGAAGATATGAAAATTAAGTCAACAAAGTTATCCAGTCGGGAGGAAAATGAACAAAAAGTACCAAAATTTTTTCGGCGATGTAAAACCGAGGTAATTACGGGGTTGGAGAAGGGGCACAGGGGAAGATGGGAGGGGGG